GGATGCTGCTGTGGCCAAGGGAGCTGATTCTCCATTAGCCAGAGGAGGCACTGGGGCTAGCACGGGATTCCAACCACCTAGATCCTTTTCTGCCTGGCCCTGCCCAACGGGAACAGACTCCCGGCCCCAGCAGCGGCCCCAGCACTGAGGAGTTCACTGTGGACAATGACGTCGCAAGGGGGGAGGTGATGTCACTGTTGCCATCCCCCTGCCTGTTTGGGGTCACAAAGGAGGTGCTCTCCTATTGGCTGCCAGGAGAAGCCCCTCGGCTCCTGCCTCACAGAGGAGCAAAGGCCCAAAGCTCCCTGCCCCAGCACTGGCCCAAGGCCTGGCTGCTTCTTCTGAGGAGCGTTTAGCCAAAACAAGTTGGCAGGGGCCCGGCCAGGGCACCTGGAGCTGCCCCGCCACAGCCAGTGCTTGGCAATACAGGCAGGGGCAAGGGGACAGCAGAGACAGGAAGAGCAGCGAGTCCCAGCAAGGAGAGCGAGGCCAATCAGGTGAGGCAGGGGGAGCCCAGAAGATCGGCCTCCACAGCACAAGGAGACGCACCAAAGGCAGCTGTGGGCAGGATGTCCAGGGCAGAGGAGGTGTGCACAGTGGCTGAGCAGCAGGGGGAGCCTGCGGCAGCCTGCTCCGGGGGTCCTGCCGAAGACACCGAAGCAAAGAGCAAAGTGAGCCGCTCCTCACGGGCTGGCCTGCTCTTCTCTGTGAGCCGCATAGACAGACTGCTGCGCAGAGGTCGCTTTGCCAAGCGCATTGGAGCCGCAGCCCCCATCTATCTGGCGGCGGCGCTGCAGTGTGTGACGCAGCACACCATGGAGGTGGCCGGGAAGATTTCCAAGGAGAGGAAGAAGCAGCGCATTTCTCCGCGGCACTTGCAGCTGGCTGTGCAAAGAAACCCTGAGCTCAAGCAGCTCCTGAGAGGTATGCCCAGGCATACTGTTCCCCACAGCCAGCCAACGGCCTCATCTCGGAACAAGAAGAAGAGTGAGAAGAGGTGGTTCGGGCAAAAGGCTACAGCTGCCCGTGCCCCTGTTCCTGACAGCAATAAGTGAGAAGAGAGTGGGAGCTCTTGCTCCACCCTGGCAAGGAAAGGCAAGGGCTGTCCTCTTTGCAAGCCTCTGTTGAATCAGTGCTATGACCAGAGAGCATATGAAGCATAAAAGCATATGAAACCGTGCCTTGTGACTGGCGCATTGCCCTTGTCCTTGTGTCAGATTTGTCGCATCAGCACCATGCAGCGATCCCTTGGGGATGAGCTTCCATGATGCAGGGCAGCTCTGGGAAAA